AAATTCATTATTTTCTTTTTCTTTTGCATTTGATAAAGCAAATATGATTCTAATTAATAGGGCAATTTTTCAAATATTGGCATGCACTTTAGGATTATAAAATTGTATAAACCTTTTTGCATCAGGTTCAGTTTTCTTAATCTTGTGCTTCTTCACCTTCACATATTCTACCCATCTACCTCTGATCTTATCCTGCTTCAAAATCACCTTTATCCTGCCCTGGCTTTTGGTTCTACTGTTACTCTAATCAAATCTCGACAATGAAATAAATCTCGAAAATGAGATGATCGTGGTTGTCTGGCCAACTTTGTAAACTACCGGGTCATCTCTTGAGAACTCCTCTACCACACTTCCCTGTTATGACACTTCCCTGATAGCCAGAATCATGTGTCCTCCCTCTTTCCTCTCCTACTGTCTGTGACTTGTCTAGCTTCCCTAGAGTGTTAATTCTTTCTCTGCATTCGGCAGTTTCGTTATCAGTAAAAACCAAAGTAGTGCCTCTTAACCAAGTAAGTACTAGACTATATAATAGTCTCTGAGCTCTTTTCAGTTACTGTTGTGTTTGGGTTTCTTAAGTTAGCCCTATAGAGATAGTCTTCCCTGTCCAAACAATGCCTGGAATTGGGATCGAACTCATCATGTACAATATAAAATGTTATCTCTAGTATATCATCATTTGGGACAATGATTCAGAAATTTTCTAGTCCAGAATTGCCACATAATTAAGTTACTTATGCATTATTTAGGTTACAAAAGTATTTAAACAATTATATTTAGAAGATTCTAACTAGTTTTCATACTAATTTTATGTGCGTATCTTGAGAAAATACTACCTTAAAATACATAATTAGAAATGTATATTCTCTTATGATCATCAGCTTTATTTATTCACTGCATATCCTAGTTGATTTCCATTAAAAAAAAATATATATATATATATATATTGCAGGAGGCTTATCTAAGTAGGTCTTAGAGGGAAGGTGTCAATTTCTGCTGCAAAAGTTGATTTCATTTACTTAGAAATGATTGCAGCACCTATGGCCGACATTTTAATCAGTCACAATGTTCCCTGAGGAGTTAGTCTCAGAATCCTTCTCAACACAATGCTTCCAAGGCAGCCACAACTAATTCATTAACACTGACCTGAGAAATGAAACCAGCTCACCTCTGCCCCTCCTGCTGAGACGCTGGTTGTTTTCAGGGACCCAGTGCCTGCGATGCAGAGTAGTTACCACTAGATGGCGCTAGTGCTATGTCAAGAGAGTCCTCAAGGCCCAGCTCTCTAAACTGTTCCATTTGAGGCATTTGTACCTCTAAATGTCCAGTTGTCCCTAACCACTCACAGCAGCATTGACTTACCTTCCCAGTCTAACCAATGAAAATTTTTCTCTATACTCTTGGACTTGATGTTCAAAAACTAAAAACCTAAGAAAGAAAGCATACGGGCCCGTTTCTATCTTGCCTCGTTGCGAGAGGCCACGTGTGTCTTCGAAGTCCGCAGAATCACGTTCCCCTTTGATGCTGTCTTCCACGTTAGTTTAGGAAGATGTTCTTCCTCATTATCGTTTCTCTTGACAACATGTGTAATTGTTCTGAGCCTTAGTTTCCTCATTCATAAAGAGGGTTAAAAATACACACCTTGGGAAGGTTGTTTTAGAGGTTAAAAGTGGTGAAGACCAGGTGCTGTAGGCATAAAAAAAATTAAAAATAAGGATCGTAAGCTGATAAGGTCCTTGCAATCTGTGAAGTCAACTAAGGGTTGCCTCGCCTAAAAAAAAAAAAAGAATTTATAGTATCATTGCCAGATTTTTGCATTTATAAGCACACTATATATATATTTTTTTTATTAAGACAGTTTAGCAAGTACCTTTACTTTATTTTTTGTTAAACTGAAAAATTTTAACACTGACACCTCAATACTTATTATTTTTTCCCATGTCTTCGCTCGAGTTCAGTAGTCCAGCTCCCCTCAAAGGGCTAAACATTTCCTTCAGGGTTTTTTTTTTCTGAACCTCTGACAGCTCAGTTCTTTGATGTAGCATTTCAGTGCCTATGGTGCTATTTATTATTTTCTATACTGCATTTTAATTTTTAGGTATAAAACTATTCCTCCCTCCTCTGTACTACCCGAGTGCTTTGCTTGAATCACATCATTACTGGTTTGCACATACATCTACTTACTTAACTTTATGCTTTTTAAAAAATATCTCTGAGTGTTAAGCACATAGTAGGCACTAAGTAAATATTTATTATGCATACTCTGCATCACAGTTATTAATAACGAAAGACAATCAATAGATTATCTTGTGGCCTTTATGTTGCTCTGTTGTTAGAGCTTTTCATCAATTTGAGACGTTATACCTTAATTGGAACTATAAGTACCTATGAATAAATTTAAATGATTGTGAATTTCAGAGAGAATGTTTCCATTTCACAAGCCTCAGTCTCCTTTTCTCTTTACCAACACTGTAATCAAGGCACAGGATCTTATTTAAGCTAACAAATGATTATCCTTCATTACATAAGTAGTATGTAACTTGACCTTAAAAGGCTGCTTAACTTGACAAGATGGCAGTGAATCTAGCCAGCTGTGTCTGCTTTCACAATGTCTTGGTACCTTGAATAGAAGCTGATTTGAGGAAAGGCTGGAGGAGTCTTTACCTCACAGTTCCCTCTCTTATCTGGAACATATTGGGGTTTTCAGGAACTGCATGGTCTCTCACGAGTTATGAAATCTCTTGGGTTCAAAATACACTTGAAATCTGCGCTTTTTGTTCACAGGTCACAAGCTATTTAAACATACTTACAGTTTCTGAAATGTATTCCTGTAATTTTCTATGTACTCTTTGCTCATCTGATCTTTGAGTATTACTAAAAACTTGATGAAAACAAAACTTGAATATGAGAGATGGATAATATATGTGAAATTGTTGAGAAATGGATAATGTATTTAAAATATTATAGGTAATGCAAATAGACTACAGTGATTTAAAAAACCCTAAGATTTCAATGAATATTTCTTTGAACTCGGAGTGGCTAAGAATGAAGCATGAAAACAGTGCAAAGAGCATCAAGAGAAAATGTTAGTTTTGTATTATAAACAAATATTAAAAGCTTCAGTGTGTATGAAAATCAATATGATTGAGTTAGAAAATACATATATATGACAGGCAAAAGTATGATGTCTTTAATCTATGAAAAACTCTTCTCTTGGGACCAATAATAAGGCACACAATAATAAAAGTAGTATTATTATTAACAATAATAATTTTCTGAGTGTTATGATATTCTGGGCACCCTTCAGAGGGCCTCTATGCATTTTGATCCTGTAGTAATTCTTTGAGGTAGATGCTATTACTATTATTCCATTTCACAAATGAGGAAACGAAGGCACAGGGAGGTTATGTAACGCTCAGGCTTGCATGGTTGGTTAAGTAGTTAGTAAACTGTGTACTGTTTCTGAATGCATGACTGTCTTTTTGATCCCAGGGTTGGGGTCCTGATGTCTGTTTTCTTAACCACTATCCTGTACCGCGTAAAATAGACAAAAGGCAAAAAAAAAAGTTTTAAAAAAAGAAGAAATAAAGTGACCCAAAAGCATGAAAAATGTTGTTTCATTAATGATACAAATATAAATTAAAGTAAAAATTTTCTCTTACGAATAGAGTGATGAGAATAGGAAGTTTACATGGAGTGGTATTAGGAGTGTACTTCTTGAGCGTGTGTCCCACTTAGCATACTTATCCACAAGGCCCTACTGACAGAGGCTTGGTATGATTGGGGATCAGCCTACAGGGCTGCGGCTGGAAGTTCTGCTGGTGGCAATAGGGAACATGCCCTTGCCTTGGTAACACTGCTGGAAAACTCTGTGGAGAAGATGTAGCTTGCTCCACAATCTGTTTTTTGAACTTCAGTGTACAATTGGTTACGTTTCTGGCTCTGAGATAACATAGTGTGCAAGGCTGGCCCATGACAACTGCTGCGTGTATATGTGGCAGGCTTTTAGAGGCTTTCTTTTGAGAACGACTGAAGAGACTTGTAGGGTTTTAGCTTTGATAAAAAAATTTTAATTATAAGTTTATTGTGGCATTATGAAATCTGAGAGATATTTTATAAAGCTGTACTCAGTAGCCTCAACTGTTGACAAATGATTCTTGATGTTTAGTTTGGTACAAGATGCTGTGAATATAGGTCTACTTCCTTTATTCAAACTCAGTAAATGGTTTGGGACAATTAATTTCCAATTGTTTCCCAGTAGAGCAGATTTACTTGTATATTAATGAGGCACAGGTGTTAGGCCCCTGGTGCCTGCGTGCCTGGGAGGCATATTTCAGTTGTTTATCTACTCAGCCATAGGTACTGCAAGGTACTCAAGCTTGCCTTTAACAGTTTTTACAGTGAGGCTTTTTAATTTTTTGATTTTTTTTCAAATTTGCCTGCACCTGTTAAAATTTTAAAACTGATCATGTAGAAAGAAGTTGCAGAGATTTCAATAGTAAATAGCACTAAAAGTTAAAGAAAGTAGTCTTCTATTATATTTAACTGCCCAGTCTGACATTAAAGAGAAACGGGTTCATTTAAACAGATATTTCATGTGAGAAACCAATATAATCAACAATATACTTTTTTGTTGTGTATTTTTGGAGCAGGTATATCTTTGTCAATGGCTAAAGCAGTCATAAGCTCATATTAATATTCATTTTTTTCTTGTCTATTCACTGAACCGCACTACCAGCATTTCAGAGGAAATGGAATAGCCTCCATAGACAGTATGAATTTCAGTAGCTGGCATAATTATAGCGATCTACATATTCATTAAATCTACAGAAGAACTCTGTCCAAAAAGACAGCCATGCATTCAGAAACAGTACACAACTCAATATATACGTTTTTAAAGTTGCATTTCTTAGACTTATTTAAAATTAATTTCCTGTAGCACTTCTCTCCAAGCAGAAGAATTTTAACAAAAGGATCCCCATGCTTTGGTTTCTTGCATGTAGGAAAGAATGGGAAGAACTATTTGTAAACAACAATTACTTGGCAACAATAAGGCAGAAGGGGATTAATGGGCAGCTGAGAAGCAGCAGGTTCCGCAGCATTTGCTGGAAGGTAAGGAGAAAATATTTATTTACAGTTTGTGGTTGCAGTATGTCAACACATTACCTGATGCCCTTGAAGATTACCTAAGCAGGGGATCACTGAATTTTCCAAGAGACTTCACTGCCCATTTTTGGCCATCCATGTTTATCGTTCATAGGATGTTTACTGATAAGGTTCAACCACCTTAGTTCTGAATAACTGCTGATGGTAAAGGTGTCATTTGAAATAACTGTCTTTTCATCTCAGTTGATGGTGCAGAATTCAGAGCAACACCTTACATTCCCCAGAGGCTTTTGCAGAAATCATTGAAGCTGGGCAGAAGCAGAGGGGTCTTAACTTTCAGGTTCCTATTATATCAAGTGCCATCGTTTAGTCATCTTCCCTTTTTCCTTCATAATAGCAGGTAGAAAAGATTTTTTATATTTCTCGTACTGGAAACACAAAGTGAAGGGCAGCAAGGAGAAGTAGAAGGAAATTAGGTCAGTCTCTTTCTGAGAGAAAGGGCCACTGGTTACCAAAACTAGTAACAATCTGCAGTTATCTTTTTAATTGCTTGGAAATATTGTCCCTTTTTGTTCTCGCACAATGAATTAATTTAGATTTAGACTCATTTCTAAAATGGCTTCTATTGAAAGTTTTTTAGGGTATTTCTGCATAAATCGAGCATCCAGAGTCTGCAAGTAAAGCCAGTAAGGAACACATGATGTATTAGACAGTTTTAGATTTAATAATTTAGAGTTAATAATTAAAATACATTTTTCTTCTGTCGGATGCAGGCAGTGAAGTCAGGAGACCTGCTGCTAGAATGTTTGTGTACAAACACGGGTGCCTCACCCGCATTCTTTGTTGTTTAACTTTTAGTGTCCTTCGTTTGCTGAAAATAAACTCAAATCCAGATTTATTTTAATGTTGTAGTCAACTAAATTGAATCAAATTTGTCTTTTTAAGAATGCTTATTATTTTCGTAAGCTGACTGCCAGTTGTAAATTAAATTTTCTGCTGTAAAAGGAATGACTTCACTTCTCAGGCTGTGTCCTAACATTGTTTTCCTCTGTCCTTTACCTGCTTCTTTGAAAACAAATCTTAAACCTTAAAATTACTGTTCGGACCTTGTGCCTGTTAATGCTCCCTCTGCCCCATTAATAAGACTATAAAATGAGAATTATACCTAAACCTCAATGAATTTTTTTTTGTTCATTTTTAATATAAATCTGGAGGGTAGGTTGATTCCATTTTGTGGTATAGCTTTTAAGATTTTGTTTTTTTGGTCTTTGTTCACTTTTTGAATTGTCTAAATATATATACCTTAAATATCTCCAAATATAATTTATTGAGAATTGGAATGAATGATATGAATATGTAATACCATGAATATGAATAGCTCAATTTTCAGATGATTCTGTTTGGTGTAGTTTCATATTTTACTTATTATGATTTTTATAAGTTTTCATTTTTTTTCTTGTCAGCTATTTCTTTGTGTTCTTCCTCAAGATAAAAGTCAGTGGATAAGTAAAATTAAAGAATTAAGAGCATGGTATAGCAACATCAAAGAAATAGTAAGTTGTACTTTTATTAATATAATTGTTTTCTTACGCATAAAGTTTGGTAGCCTCTGATCTTTATGTGTATTCTTTCTTTCTTTACCAGCACATCACAAACCCAAGGAAGGTTGTTGGCCAGCAAGATTTGATGATCAATAATCCCCTTTCACAAGATGAAGGGGTAAAGTTTGTCTTTATTCCTGTCTCAACTTCTTTTGCCCGTAAGAGTGTGTTTATCAGACTAGTTATCAATCACCACGAAAGCAGTGTTATTTCATACAACTTTTGTTTTTTTTTTTTAACCCATGTACTATACCACCTAAAACCTGATGGAAATTATTCCATGTTATATACTTACTATTCTGTAGGAAGTTTACGATCTATTTCTGTGGAATGGCACTACAGAGAAGTCCCAGGAGGCTCTTTTAGAACTAAGGGCAAAATAGAAGAATATAAAGGTGAGGATAGAACAGTTCTATCAAGGATTGCAGTGAGGAGTTGGGGAGAAAGCCTCTCTTTATAATTAAAATAGAGGAGGGTTTACTTGGTAGACTAGCTTTCAAGAAAAAAAGAAACTGTTTGTAGTGAGTCTACTAAAGTTTTTAAAGAACAGGGAAAAAGTTAGGCCTATCTGCACTCATATTTTAGTGAAGACTAGGAATAATTACTACTTAGAGGTGTTGTATATCTTCTTTAATTAAAGCTCTAATTCCTCATTCCTAGTTCCCTGCTAACAGAAAAATTTTTTTTCCAGTTAATATATATGGAAGAATTTTTTTCATATCTATTAGCATTTCTTTTTCCTGATACATATAATTATTATAGATGTAGTCTATGGTATGGCAGCAAAAAATATTGTTAAGTAAATTTTAAAACTTAAATCCACATTTTGAAACGTACATTAAAATCTATTTAATTATAAAACCAAGCTTTGTAGAAAACATTACATGTCTTTCTTAGTATATTGGGAATTCAGGTCAGCTTCAAGTTGGGACCAAGCAGAACTTTTTGTTATCGTAGGGCTAGTAGCAGGTACGTAGTAAAAAATATAATTCACTTTATATAAGTTAACAGAAGAAATTTAAATACATACAGTAACATCACTGAAAAAATTGATGTTAGAATAAGGATGTGTTCCTGAGAGTAAATTAGATTTTAATAAAAATTATTCCAATTTCAAGTTTCTTATCTGCAATGTGAAATGATAACTCAGAGAAGGATAAATTTAATCATTTAAATTATTAGATTGAGATCATTAAAGTCAAGCAAAGATGTGAGACTATTTTGAATAGGTTGTTCTCCTATATTTCAGAGTCTTTGGAACAAATTCTTCCAAGATAAAGAACTTCGATCAATGATTGAACAAGATGTCAATAGAACGTATGTAGAACTACTTATAAGTTATTTTCGATAATTCAAATTTGTGTTACCTCTTTGTAATTTATCAAAATGCAAAACCCATAGGGGAGCCTTAATTGAATGCAATGTTCTACTTTTATTAATAACAGTTATTTTGGCCAAGTTTTGATAATAATGATCATTTTCTATTCTTAAAACGTAGATTTCTGTTCTCTCCTTTTCAAAATAAATTATTATATTTATAATATTGATACTCTTAAAATAACAATCAGTTTTTCAAATTCCAACAATTACTTGAAGTCATATGTTTTTGATTAAAGTTGTTTTGTTACAATATTATGCATTCATAATATTGGTATTGATAGAAAAATTTCTCTCTTGCTTTACACTTTTAAATACCTTTTTAATCATATTACTTTTTAAATGACAACTACTCTCCTTATTTCTCTTCCTCTTGAACCATTCAGGTTTGCAAACAACCTCTTCTCTCAGTCTACTCAGTATTTACGTTGTGAAAAACTAGTTTCTTGTTTAGCACATAGTTAATATCCATAACTTTTATATATTGGACCTCATCTTTCTGGGTCAGGCAGTGAGAAGTACATAGAATTTGTGTAGGAAGATCCTGAAGTAAGTTCTAGCAACGTTCTCTGTAATCTTGGGCAAATTACTTTTAACAAGTGTCTTTCTCCTCAGTGTCCTTTAAAACTGGAATAATAGTAATCACCTCAGATATCGTTATAGATTAATAAGTATATGTTGTAGTAGTGAATGAGATACATTTATACTTTAAAAAATTACATATGTGTTAGTAAATATAATTTAATCTTTGGATCTAGGATGAGCCAGGTTCTCTCTGGTGCCTTCTTCTAAGTCCTTCTGCAGCTTTGTCTGTCTTCCCACTCCTAGTTCAACTCCAACTAGATCTATTACAGTGTCAAGGCCTCTAGCTCTCTGATATTTATCTCTTTCCAGGTCCAAATGGAATAATCAGATGTCATGGACTGCTATTAAGATTATTCTACATGTCTAACAAGTGAAATTTTGTTTTAAAATAAAAAAAATTCAGAGGACTCATGAATCAGAGTACAACAAAAATATCATAGATGACTGGCAACGGTAGTGGGTTGTGAGGTGGGAGGTATGGATCATTTTGATGAGCTCGAGTTATTCATTTAACCCAGGAGTAGCCACTTATAGGAAAGCTGCTTTCAGAGATGTGAGGTGGTTGTGCTTGATCTTTCCAGTATGAGTTTCAGAAAGTAGAATGCCATTGTGTTGGTGTACTGAAGGTACTCAGTAAATATTTGTTGAATAAAACAAAGAATAAATTTCCTTATCCATCATTTAAGTAACTAGGTAATCAGTGGCAGTAAATAGGCCTCTAAAAACAAAATGCAAGGTATATATTGCTAACTAAGCAGTAAAAGTATCTCTTTTTAAAAATGCTAGGCGATTATCTTAGAAAACTTGACAGCTTCAACTTTAAGTGGCTAATAGGAAGGATTACAATCAATCTCTCTACCGTTATTAAATGGAAATGACGGTACCGTGGTACTGGGGCAGAGGCACACACTCAGAGGCCATATGGGCCAGGTTGGTTAAAAGAAATCGCAAACAAGAGAAAGAGAAAATAAAACCTGGATAGCTAAGCCAAATAAGAAGTGGCGATGGAATCCCATTCATCATTTTGGTTACTTAGCTCAGACATTTCTGCTTTGCTCTGTTAGAAAGTATTATTGCTTGAAAGCTGTATTCTTGACACTATTTGGTTTTATATTTTCTATGCATTTTTCTTATAAAAATTGTATGTGTGTGTGTGTGTATGTAAAACACATGTATGGCTAATTTTTTTTTTTTTTTTTTTTACAAGTTTTCTCCACTAGTACATTTTAATTAAGTTGGCGAACCAGAGATTCAGGGAAGGCAGCTATAGTCAGTTCATAGCACAGGTGGAGGAGGTTGCATACCTTCTTCCCCAGAAGGCTCTCCCATGGTGCTCTCTATATTTAGATTAAGTTTCCTTGCCATCTCTGTATACCTTTTGTGACAAGTAACTTAGCTTATAGGATAAGATTGTCAGTCTTATTTTAAAGCCACCAAATTGCCTACTCATAAAAGCTGAATAGCTTGAATAATTTTACTACTTTAGATAATACACTCTCTTTATAAGGCACTACATGATCTAAAATTCATGTTTTCAATCAAGCCTATAAAGCAGCTCATAATGCAGTAGGAGAAGAAAGGAAGTACAGTTCAGTGAATGTTATACAGTGGTATTTCTTCACTAGCATCTGTGATAAGAATTTCGTTTTGTTTAATGTCTATTTACTGAATGCCTACTATGTTCCATTCTGATCCTTTGCATTGTGGTAACAGAGTGATGATAAGATAAATAAGGTGGTGCTATCACAAGATATATATTTTAGTGTTGGGGAGTGGGAGAGTGAGACAATAAGCATGTATAGATAAAGAGGGTAATTGTAGAGGGTGGTAATCGATGTGAAGAAAGAAGGGTAATAGGATAGCTAGAGGGATGCCTGCCTTAGGAACAGTGATCAGAAAAGGCATCTCTGAGAAGATAATATTTGAGTTGAGATGTGAAAAAATTTTTAAAGCCAGTCATGTGAAGATCTAGGAGAAGAACAGTCCAGGCAGAGGGAACAGGTGGTGCAAAGTCCCTCAGTTAAAATAAACTCAGTTATTTAGAGGAACAAAGGGAAGGCAAGTATAGCGGGAAGCAAGTGACTTAAGTAGGAGAATGTGATCGGTGAACATGCAATCGAATATATATATGACTGGATTTCGTTAACCAATGTCACCATAATAATTTGAGAGGAGGGCAAATGCCAGATGAGCAGTCCTAAAGACCATAGTAAGGAGTTTGGATTTTATTTCTGTTGCAATGAGAAGCCTCGGGAGATATTGAACAGGGGAGTGATATCTTAAAAGATAATCCTAGCTGCTGCAATAGTCTGGTGAAGGTAGAAGTAAGAATGGAAGCTCGAAAAGCAGCTAGGGATGAAACGATTGCAGTGTTCTAAGTTGAGGAATGTTATTGACTTAGACTAAAGATGGCTAAGAGTAGAAAGGTTGAGGATATGCATTTTATATTTTTAAATACAAATGAGGGCATCATTATATGTACTTCTCTCACATTCATCAATTCTGTCCCATTTTTACTGCTGTTTCAGGTCCTTTTTACCACCTACCTAGTCTCTTACTTGTTTTTCTCTTGGATCTATTACCTGTCTCTTCTAATCCTATCCCTGTATTACAGCTCTGTTTTCTCAAAGCACATTTTAGTCATGATACTTGTCTAATTTTAAACCTTCTATGACTCTGTAGTCTGCAAAAGAATGGATTTACTCCTTAACATGCACACAGTTCTCTTTTAGGGTTTTCCTTTTATCTTTCTGTTATTGATGTATAGTTTAATTCCACTGTGGTCTAAGAGCAGACATTGTATGATTTCTATTCTGTCAAATCCGTTAGGGTGTGTTTTATGGTCCAAAATGTGGTCTATTTTGTGAATGTTCCATGTGAGCTTGAGAAGAATGTGTATTCTGTTGTTTGATGAAGTCATGTATAGATGTCAATTATATGCAGTTGATGGATGATGCTGTTGAGTTCAACTATGTCCTTACTGATCTTCTGCCTGCCAGATCTGTCCAGTTCTAATAGTGGGGGATTGAAGATGCTAGCCATGATACTGGATTCTTTTATTTCTCTTTGCAATTTTATTAGATTTTCCCTTATACAGTTTGATGTTCTTTTATGAGGCTTGTACATGTTAAGGTTTGTTACGTCTTCTTGGAGAATCGATCCCTTTATTATTATGTGATGCTCTTTTTTACCTTTTAATTAGTGTTAGCATGGTATATTTTTCCCCATCCATTTACTTTTAATCTAACGTGTCTTTATATTTAAAGTGTGTTTCTTATAGGCAACGTATAAGCAACATAGATTTGGGTCTTGTTTTTCCATCTGTGCTGACAGTCTGTCTTTTAATTGGTACATCTAGGTCATTAATATTCAAAGTGATTGTAGATATACTTAGATTATTATCTATTATATTTATTACCGTTTTCTATATGTTACTCTTGGTTTTTGTTCCAGTTTTTGTCCTCCATTCTTTCTGCCTTTCATTGTTTTAATTGAGCATGTTTTATTACTCCATTTTCTCTTCTTTCTTAGTATATTGGTTATATTTCCTTTTTCACTTTTATTTAGTGATTGCCCTAAAATTTGCAGTAATACATTTCAGCTAATCAAAATCCACTTTTAAATAACAGTATACCACTTCACAAGTGAGTACCATATAATAAAATAATCGTAATTCCTCCTTCTTATCTTTTGTATCATTTCTGTCGTTCATTTCACTTATATATAAGCACATATAAGCATATATGTACAAATGTATGTATGTATATATATCTGTTATATCAATTAAGAATAAGAAAAATAAAAGTTTTTGTTTATTTTTATTCACATATATTCTTTCTTACACTCTTCCTTTATGTAGATCCAAGTTTCTGACCTATGTTATTTTACTTTTCTCTAAAGAACTTTTTAAAAATCATTTCTGGTGAGGCAAGTCTGCTTGCAACAAATCCCCTATTTTTGTCTAAGAATATTTTTATTTCTTCTTTACTTTGAAAGGATAATTTTGCAAGGTGCAGAATTCTAGATTCTTTTTTTTTTTTCCTCTCAACACTTTAAATATTTCACTTCACTTTCTTCTTGCATGCATGGTTTCTGAAAAGTTGAATGAGCAATTCTTGCCTTTGTTCCTGTATAAGTAAGGGGTATTTTTCCTCCTTAAGAATTTTATCTTTGATTTTTTTTGTAGTTTGAAAACGATATGCCTAGGTGTATTTCTTTGGCATTTATCCTGCTTGGTGTTCTCTGAGCTTGCTGGATCTGTGGTTTGGTGTCTGACATTAATCTGGGGAATTTCTCAGTTATCATTTCAAATATTTCTTCTGTTTCTTTCTTTCTTCTTCTGATATTCCCATTAT